ATATTATATTATAAATTTTATAACTTGATGCATTTTGATGTAATTGTACAATTAATATATTAACATGTTTTTCGTTAATTTATTTAAAATGAAACACTATACTAAAAATTAATTTTTACATTAGTAGTCTATGAATTATCATTAATTTTATGATATTATGTTTTATTTGGAAAACTGAACGTTCGAAATTTTATATTTGACTAAACTAAATAAGATAATACTATACTTACAAATATTCTATACAAGATATACTCTATATTTTATTTTATATTTTTATTTTCACCACAAAAAAAATGATTGTATTTAATTAATTTAAATTGATTTTAAATGCAATAGCAGAATCTGTAAATAAAAAATACAAAAAATATGTAATTTATTATAAATGCAATGGTTACATGTGTAAATAAAATGAAACATTTAATCTGTTATTCATGTTTCTAAATAATTCTCATTTATTCTGTTATCCTTATTTCCAAACAATATGAAAAGGTACTTTAATTTTAATAATATAGATGATAGTGTTATGATTTTTAATAAGGTGAATATTCATCGAATCAATTACTTTAAAAGTAATAAGAATAAAATATTTCAAAATTATATTTCATACTTCAACTATAATTCCATTACTACATAACAATAAAATAAATCATCCATATATATGAATTTATTTTCTCCATTAATGTTTTCAACTCTGAATGTGAATGACTTTAATAATGAAATTGTGTAGCGAAAGTGTTTTCGAACTTTGAAAGTATAAAAAATGTTACATCACAATAATAAATTGCAGACTTAGATTTATGACAATATATTCTATTATTGTGATGGTTCATCATCAAAATCTACCTTTATCATGATTTTTCTTGTATATATTTAATATATAACAAGAATCCAAATTAAATTGCAGACTTAGATTTATGACAAGATACTTTTTTTTTGCAGAGATTTAGGAAAATCACTGTTTTAGTTAGTAATATATATAACTTATTAATGGAAAATGTCAATTTATATTTGAAAATACAGAATAATGTTGGTTCATTAGTATAAAACATAGTTTTCAATAAACTTTATTTTATAAACGAGAATACTCACAATGGTTAATAGAATTATAATTGTTAACACCAATAGTTGCAAGAGTTCATCACCAAAGTACTATTTTTGAGTAGTTGCAATGCCAAAACACACAACTTCACAACTCTTTACATAGAGAGTTAAGGTTACAATGTTTAATAACCAAGCATTACAAAGGTTAGTAGAATTATAACTGTTAACACAAAATTTGCAAGGATCCATCACCAAAAAAATTTCCCTTTTGAATAGTTGCAATGATTTATCATAGTTGTAATAGTTCATCTCTGGTTATAGTCACCAGTAGTTGCAATAGCTTATAGATACATAGTATAAAATATTTAAATTATCCAAAAACTAAATTATCTGAATATTTATAGATAGTTTTAATATTATCTAAATGCATATAAAATAAATAGAAAATTTAACTAAAAGATGACTCATTAAAAAGTTATGCATATTTTAGTATTAAAATATATATCCTCAGCAAATTCAAGAATCCTTAAAAATGTATGCAGTTTAAAAATGAAAACACATCTTTAGACAAAAATAACTTTTAAAAATTATGAAAATATGATAAAAATATATTTAATACTTTTTACCATTTTTTAAACTTAATGTAATTTTTAACATGAAAAAATACATTTGATCAAAAGATACCTCTTTATACATTTTGGAAGTCTCATAAAAATAAATGCAATGTTTAGGTTGAAAAGACAAAAAACCTATGCAATTTTGAAGATGAAAAGATACACGTTCAAATATATATTTTTATTTTGGTATTATTAGTAATTATATTATTTATTTAGGATTGATAATGATTGAATCATGCACAAGATCACTTTTTAGAAAAATATATGACAAAGAAAGTTTCTTGTGTTTTTGGTAAGATACATAAATAACAAATAAAATTTCTAGTGTTTATATATGTTTCTTCAAATGTTTGAAAAATAGATCTCTCTCTTTATTTCCGTGACTTATTAGTTTCTATTATAATTGTCAATACCTACAGCTTCTATATAGAGAGTTGAGGGTTACAATGTGTTGTGACTTGGTTTGAAAGATTCCAATGGATTAAGAAGGTTTCGGTTTAATAACCTGGTCGGAGGATTAGATTTAGATTTTGATTTGAAAGTCGGTTTAAATCTATTTTGTATACGTCGCCGTTTTACTCTTCTTTTTTCTTTTGAAGTCGGGTTTGTTACAGTGGGGTCCACACGGAGAGGCCGTAGGTTGTTATCTTTGATGTATGACAAGTTGTATCGTGTGTGAGAGCTGAGAGAAAGTTCTGGGAAACATGGTGAGAGAGAAAAGTAATAGAGAGAGGAAAACATAGAGAAACATAGATCTACGGGGGTGAGAGATTGTTTCGGGGTTTTCCGGTGAGTGACGGCGGCGTAGGTTACACTGAGCTTATTGAATTCTGAGGAGATCCTCGGCCAGACGTAGGATTGCGGTTTTGCATCCGAACTGGATAACATCTCGTCGTGTTCTTAGCTACAACTTTATTTTCTTGCTTATCAAGTCAAAAGCAATTTGAAATCTCTAACCTAGTAACGATCGAATCCGCTACAAGTGGTATCAGAGCACATGTTCTTTGTTACTAGGTTAAGATCAGAGGTCTATTGGTGTTGTGATAAAGTGTTCGATTCACGATCTCGAAGATGCCTTCCGCAAAGATCGAGATAGAAAAATTTGACGGTGTGATTGATTACAACATGTGGAAGGAAAGATTGTTGGCGAATCTCGATCTTCTAGATCTGACTGAAACTCTTGAGCTTCGGGAAGAGGAGCTGAAGAAGTCAGATCTGAAATCTAAAGATCACAGTGCTAAGGAGGACGACTCAGATTCTGACTGAACGAAGAAGAAAGATTCATTGATTGCAGAGAACAACAGAAGGTTCGAAGTACGATTTTCATGTATTTTGCTGATAAAATCTTAAGGAAGATTATTAAGGAGAAGACAGCTGCTGGTATGCTTAAGATCTTGGATGCTCAATACATGTCAATGTCTCTGCCAAACCGAATGTATCTGAAGCAGAAACTATATGGACATAAGATGAATGAGTCCATATCCATAAAGAACAATATTGATGAGCTCCTAAGGATCATATCTAATCTTGGAAATGTGATGGTTGAGGTACAGATGAGGATCAAGCAATATTGCTGTTGATGTCCTTACCAAAGCAGTTTGATCAAATGAGGGATACTCTGAGATATGGTAAATACACAGTGACTATGGATGAAGTGATGAACTCAATTCACTCGAAACAGCTGGAACTTTACTATGAGACTATGACTGTTTAGGCGTGGGCGTTCGGATTAGGTATTTTGGATTATTGGATATTTCTGTTTGGGTATCTAGAATCTGTTTGAGTATTTTTACATATTGGGTCGGGGTACTTTTACTTTGGTTTCGGTTATTTTGGTTCGGTTTCAGATATTTAAGATTTAGAAAAAAAAATTAAATTCTTCATTAATCAGGTTTCTTATATTAAAAAAAATTACAGTTAAGTTAACTGACTTTTATTTTTTTTAACAAGTTAAATAATTAATAAGTTTGCAAACAAAATTTTGAAAAACACTAATTTAGTTGATGAAAAAAATTGAATGCAATTTTTGTTAATGCATGAAATAAACAGTTCGACGTGCATTTTAAATAAATAGATAATCAATTTGTTCACAATTATATGTATATTATATGATTTTGAACCATATACAACATTAATTGTAAATATTTTTAGATAAACTAAAAATATAAGATTAAATATACATATCTTCGGTGATCCTCATATATTCATTTGGTTTTGATATTACCCGCTCGGCTTTAGATATCTAATATCTCCTAACTCAATATCCGTTTGGATATTTTACTACTTCCGTTCGAGTTCGGATTTAGATCGGGATATCAGATAAAATGTTTGGCATCTAGTGTAGTTAATTACCGTAAATGTAAAATACAAGATACATAAGCAGTACAAGCATCTAAAATGACTTAAACATTCATAGCAATTAAATATTAGTTCTAATTATAATAAAATTTAATTTATTGCTCTAAATAGCTAGGAAAAAAAAAGAAAGGAAATGAGATACTTATGTTAGTGGAACAAGAAAAATATATAGAAAGCAAATTTTCTCTCTCACTATGTTGCCAATATTTGATAGAGATTTTAGTTTTATTTTTTGATGGATTGAGTATTTATTTCGTAATATATTCAAACTAAATACTTAAATTGTAGTAGAAATATGAATAAATGTTTTATTCCATCATATTTCATCTTCTTAACTAAAGAAACAAGTGTCACTGTTTAAACTAATCACCAAACTAATTCATCTATTTCTGGATAACATTTAAATACCATAATCATTTATTTGTTGTATTATTATCCTTTTATCAATTTGCATATATCCCTTTTTGGATACACTTAGATCATGATTATGTAGGATTTAAAAGGGTTTTTAACCAAAATTAATGGTGGGTTCCACCGAGAATTATAAAAAATGGTGTTAGAAACAACAAAATAAAGATCAATTTATATAAGATTTTTGCATTGTTTGTGGACTCCACTAATACGTGACAGTATGTGATTAGTTGGCCATTTAATTAATTTTTTTTAATTAGACAAATTTTTTTAAAAAAAAAATACACAAAAGGATTATAGAGTTAATGATGCTCTTATATATCCCTTCTCATTGGTGATCTCTCTTGAATATTTTCGAGTTGGCGACCAATAAAAAACAGTTCTAACCGCAAAAATTGCAGTAAACGTTACGAGCGTTCATGTGAAATACTATATAGTATATATCGGAACGTTCCCGACCCACCTTTTGTTTTTATTTCAAATTAACGGTGGCCACTAAAAGTATACACGTTTCGGAGTATAAAACTATATATATTATACTTTTCTAACTGATTTTCCGGTTTTTCCAAGTTTCTTCCTCTCTAGGTCCTCTTTTAGCATCTACTACATCTTTTCTCTCTCCTCTACGCCGGAAAAAACGATTTCCTCCGGCCGCTAACCGTTTCGTCTCTCGTGGAGAATAGCTTCCTCCTGGTGGATAGTGTCTGCGGTGATTTTGCTGTTTTGTTTGACTCGGTGACTCGGTTCTCCGCGTTTGACTCGGTCCCTGGCTCGTTACGCTGCGTTTTCGTAGAATGTGGTTTGCATGCCAGGCTTTTTTGTATTGAATTTACGGTTCGAGATCGTGATCTAGGGTTTCGTCTCTGTTCGTTTTGCTCTTTTACGGTGACAGGTCACGGAATGCTATGGTGAGTTTCTAAAAATCAATTGTCTCCTCCGTCGTGAATATGTTTTATATCCATCATCTGTTTCCTTGAACTTCTCGTGAATTTCGCCGTTGGATTAGATCTCTGACATTGCTCGAATTTCATCGAGGTTAGGTTGTATTTTTTAAAATTTGAATTGGTTTCGTGTCATTATCTCTGCTTCGTGATTTCATCTTCAGTGGATGATCATCTCTCCCACACGTTTCTTACTGTTTAAGTCCACGTGTGAGCTTGTGATTTGATTAGCTTCTGTGGTCTGTTGAAATGGCGGCGAATTTATCTCTTTAGGTCAAACAATTGTGTGTAGTAGTAGTAGAGGAAGTCGTCGATTGTTTACGACTCGCTTTCTACGAAGGTGTTGAAATTTTGAACTGGTCAGGTTCGTTGACTCGTTTAGGGTATTGGTCAAAGAGATAAGGCCTTATCTGGTTGTGAAAACGCTTATATGACTTTTAAAAGTTCTTAGTGTTGACTGTTTCTTAGCTTTTGTGGAGTTAAATATTTTGGTATCTATTAGTGTGACTTCTCATTATATGCATGTTGAACTTTTGATGTGTATCTCGAGGAAAGCTTTTTTGACACACGGTTTTTGCCAGGGGGAAAGGAGGAGTTGGTTATCTAAAGAAGCTAAAGATGGGTTAGAATATCTGAAACGTAAACGGCTTCAGAAAATGAGAACAGCCTCTGTCAATGAAACAGTAGGCTTTAGCACAATGGCTAGAAGTGGAGGTGATGCTTTCAGACCATATTCAGCTTCACATGGAATCAGATCAAGGGTGACTGCTAGTACAGTACCTAACTTGAATGGTTCATCTACTGCTAAGGGTAACTTGATGAAGGAAAAAGTGGAAACGTTTGATACAGATGATCTAAAATGGACCGAGAGGCTTCCAGAGTGTCCTGTTTACAGACCAACAATAGACGAATTTGAGGATCCTTTGACTTATTTGCAGAAGATCTTCCCAGAAGCTTCAAAATATGGTAAGGACTAAAATCTCATTAGTCAAGAACTTTGCTGCTCATTAATATCTTGGTTGCATCTGTTAGTTGCATCTGTTAGTTGAAGCCATTGCTTGGTCTTCTGTTCAATATTAGTTAGCAAATGTTTTAAATGGAAAGAACAAGTGCAGTAGAGAATATAGTAGTCTCGCCCCTTCATGGGCGTTTCACTGTAATCAACGTAATTATGTTTCTTTGTCCAATTCCTTATGCTGCCTCTATATTTTTCAGGTATTTGTAAGATCATATCACCTTTGACAGCAACAGTTCCTGCAGGCGCTGTGTTGATGAAAGAGAAATCAAACTTTAAGTTCACTACCAGAGTACAACCCCTTCGACTTGCTGAGTGGGATTCTGATGATAAAGTTACATTCTTCATGAGTGGGAGGTTTGTATTCAACCCTGAATGATTAAGCTCTGAACCGTCACCTTATAGTTTATATTTGACTATTTGTAAACTTTTCAGGAATTATACATTTCGCGATTATGAGAAAATGGCGAACAAGGTGTTTGCACGTAGATATTGCAGCGGTGGTACTCTGCCCGACTCATTCCTGGAGAAGGAATTCTGGAAGGAAATTGCTTGTGGCAAGACTGAAACAGTTGAGTATGCGTGTGATGTAGATGGTAGCGCATTTTCATCTGCACCAGGTGACCCGCTAGGAAGCAGCAAATGGAATCTGAATGTATTGATTTACGACAACTTTAGTTTCTTTATTTACTTTTCTGGATAAGCATTAAGTGAAACATTTGCTCGGTTGTATCTATTTGATAGTTATATGTCTTTTATTTCCCTACTTGCAGAAAGTTTCAAGGCTTCCGAAGTCTACCCTGCGCCTTCTTGAAACAACCATTCCGGTATGTTACAAGTAGTACAGTTACTTTGAGGTCACATAATAAGTCTCGGTTTATCTTCTTTTAACTTGGATTTACTTGTTTCAGGGAATCACTGAACCGATGCTTTACATCGGAATGCTGTTTAGTATGTTTGCCTGGCATGTTGAGGACCATTACTTGTACAGGTAATAACAGTTAAAGTGACGCTCTCCATATATGTATCTTAATGTGGATATTTTAAACCTTTTTACTTAAAACAGCATCAATTATCAACATTGTGGAGCATCAAAAACTTGGTATGGGATTCCAGGTTCTGCAGCTCTAAATTTTGAAAAGGTGGTTAGACAAGGGGTGTACAGTGATGATATTCTGTCAGCTGATGGAGAGGATGGGGCCTTTGATGTGCTTTTAGGGAAGACAACTATATTCCCACCAAAGATCCTGTTGGATCATGATGTGCCTGTGTACAAGGCTGTCCAAAAACCTGGAGAGTTCATCGTCACATTCCCCAGGGCTTATCATGCTGGGTTCAGCCATGGTAAAACATTTTGTTCTGAAACTACAATACATTTTGACTAGGTCTGAGAATTGATACCGCAGACAACTGATATTGTGATTTTTATAGGTTTTAATTGTGGTGAGGCAGTGAACTTTGCGATGGGTGACTGGTTTCCATTTGGAGCTATTGCTAGTTTCCGCTATGCTCATCTTAACAGAATGCCCCTGCTTCCTCATGAAGAATTGATTTGTAAGGAAGCAGTGCTTTTAAACTCGAGTTCCAAACCCGAGAATCTGGATATTACACCTACGGAATTGTCAGGACAACGAAACATCAAGACTGCGTTTGTGCACCTGATTCGTTTTCTTCATGCGGCTCGATGGTCTCTAATGAAATCAGGATTATGCACCGGCCTTGTTTCGAATACATATGGAACCATCGTATGCAGTTTGTGTAAACGTGATTGTTATTTGGCGTTTATAAACTGCTATTGCTACTCACATCCTGTCTGTCTCCGTCATGGTAAAACCTTTTTCTCTGTTATCTCTGTCAACACGTAAATACTTCGCTACTATTTTAATTGATGGTGTTATTTGTATCATTGTCTAGATGTTGAAAAGCTTGACCTTCCATGCGGGACAACACGTACTCTTTTCTTGAGAGATAACATAGAAGACCTGGAAGCTGCTGCAAAGAAGTTTGAGAGAGAAGATGGAGTTTCAGATATGATTACAACTGGTAAAGAGTTATACACATATCCATCGTCAATCACACTTCCAGCTGCAGATGTCGACGGATATTCACCATATTCCATTATATACTTTGACTTCAATACCGATGTAGAGATGTTGCAAACTGGAAATCCTGTGATGAGCTACGAAGCAAATGCTTCATGTATCTCCTTAGTTGCTGATGATTATGAATGCTCAACAAACGCTGATTACGTAAGTTTTCTGACCAAGAAGTCACAAGAAGCTCATAGTTTCACCAGTCTCTTTCTAATATTAGATTTCTGTAATGTTTTAAAAGCAGGCTAATAGACGAGCTAACTGTAGTAGCAGTAGTGAGTCTAAGCACTCAGAGGAAGTAGCAAGCTGCAGCAGTAACAAGAAAACTCGGTTCTTCCCTGCGGTTCAAGATCAACCAGTAGTAGTTGCAGATCAGCAAAGTGACGGTTCTGATTCAGAGGGTTTCAGAGTCAAACGCCGTTCGCCATTGAAATTAAAGAAAAGAACAGTTGTTCTGGACACACGAGACACTGAGCATCATAAGGTACTGAATTTCACATCAGTATGTACTATTTATATTTTTGGCAGTGATCGTAAATTGTACAACTCTTGAGTTCTGTGTATTTTTATATGAGAATAGGAACATAAAAGATTGAAGAAATGGCATAGGTACCAGGAAGGAAGATATAGTAGTAGCAGTAGTATTAGGAGACGAGAAGAAGAAAAATTGTTAGTAATTTCAAACAGAAAAGTAACTCATGAGAGGCAGCAAAGTGACGTGAAGATGAAGAATGAGAATCATTTTGGTGGGTACAAACGTCTGAAAGTGAAAGGGTTGATAAGGCCGTAACGTGACAGCTGCAATATCCTCTGCCTAACTACAATTTTTTTATATGCTGATCTCTAACAATACAGGAAAAAAGGGATTCGAGAAGCAAAATATTCAGTATCTGATTTTTAAGTATGTTTCTGTTATTGGAGAAGAAGGAACAGAACTAAAAAGAAAGCATTAACCAAGCCGACCTACCAACACTGTTGGTTTCTGTTTACAGGATTTACCAAATCTTTGATTCTTTGTGTACATCTGTACACCTTTAAAGCGCTCTTGTTCGTTCTGCTGTACATTCTTTTTTCTCGTTGGTTACTACTATCAACAAAAAAAGGGTTTTATTTTTATTTGTTTCACAAGTTTTGCTAAAGCCTCATCTCTTACAAACGCAAAGATTCAATTTTTCCAGAGATGGCAATTCTGCCATACATGTGATGATGATGAGATATATTTTTGGATTTCAGACTATTCGTTTGATAAACATTACATACTGACATACGTCAAGCCCATAGTAACGTACGAACTAACAACTATAGAACTATATCACACAATACAGAAATATAAAACTTAATTTAATATCACAAGCCCTTTCTCAAAAAAAAAAAAAAAAAATTTAATATCACAATTATTCCCTGATTAGCTTTGAAAATATAGAAGTTGACCAAACTATATAAGCCGACAAAAAAAGACAATTTGGGTTTGAGTTGAAAAAAGGGCGTAACTAGCACTATTGGGCCATTGACAAAAGGCCCAACTAGATAAGCCTGTCTTTTGTTCAGCGAACCATAATCTTTGAGGGGTTTAACAAGGGTTACCAGTCTCCTCCACCATTTCCTCTGAAGAAGACGAAGGAGACAAATCTTCTTCCTCTATCAAAATCCCCCCGATTAATTCATCTCCATAACTGAATCTCCCTCTCAATTTCATATTCCTCAATCATTCTAGTCACATCAATTTTCCAGCGCACAAATAAAAAATGCGTCGAAGCTTCTCTATCATAACCCCAACAAAATGGCTCAAACCCTCCTCTCCTTATAACACCACTCTCACTCCCAAAACCTTACCCCTCCTCCGCTCCCTCTCCTACTTCTCCCGCCACCACCCCCAACCCCCGCCAGATCCAGACGACCCAACAAACCTCCTCAAAGAAGACGGCGTCTCCCTCTGCTCCCACATGTGGCTCGAAAACTTCAAAAACCCCCACAAAACCTCCACAAACCTCACCTCCCACCTCCGCCGCTTCGAGCTCTGGGTCCTCGCCTACCAAAAAGTCTCCTGCGACGAGCTCGGCGCCTACGTCCCCCGCTCCTCCATCCAACGCTCCGCCCTCGAGAACCTCCTCTCCCTCCGTAACTCCGTCCTCGACGACCGCTTCAAATGGGGCGCCCGCCTCGACTTCTACATCAAATCCCCCAGAGACAAAACCGACTACGAGTCTCTATCCAAGCGCAAGATCAAAGCCATCTTAACCACCACGCAACCCACTCCGTTCCAGGACAGGATCGTTCAAGAAGTGTTGCTGATGATTCTTGAACCGGTTTACGAGTCCCGGTTCTCGCAGAAGTCTTTCGCGTTTAGACCCGGGAGGACGGCGCATACGGTTTTGAGAGTTATTAGGAGGAACTTCGCGGGGTATTTATGGTATTTGAAAGGGGATTTAAGTGTGGTTTTGGATGGGATGAAAGTTGGGTTTGTTGTTAGTTCGTTGATGAGAGATGTTAGGGATAAGAAAGTCATTGACTTGATTAAGTCCGCTTTGGTTACTCCCGTTGTAACCACTAGTAAAGTGGAAGGAGATGATAAGAAGAAGACTAAGAAGAGAAAGTATCAGAAGAAGCGTGTGTTAGCTGATGATGAGCCTAAGCCTGACCCTTACTGGTTAGAGACTTTCTTCGGTTTCGCTCCTGAAGAAGCTAACAAGTCTCCTCAGTGGGGACACTGTGGGATTCTTAGTCCTCTTTTAGTTAATGTAGTTCTCGACGAGCTTGATCGGTACATGGAGGGAAAAGTTAAAGATTTTTACCGTCCTTCTAAGAGTGATGTTATATGGAATACACCTGAAGGAGATGGTGGTGGTGGTGATCAGGGCAACACTTCGTGGCCTGAGTTTGTGCCCACGAGTGGTCCTGACAAGACGAGGAAGATGGATTACGTTAGGTACGGTGGTCATATACTGATAGGTGTGCGTGGACCGAGAGCTGATGCTGCGACGTTGAGGAAGGAGTTGATTGAGTTTGTTGATCAGAAGTATATGCTTAGGTTGGATAATGAGAATCTACCTATTGAGCATATCACTAAAGGTATTATGTTTCTTGATCATGTTTTGTGTCGTCGTGTTGTGTATCCGACCTTGAGGTATACTGCGACTGGAGGGAAGATTATAAGTGAGAAAGGCGTTGGGACGCTTTTGTCTGTTACAGCGAGTTTGAAACAGTGTATCAAACAGTTTAGGAAACTTAACTTTATTAAAGGAGACCGTGATCCTGATCCTCAGCCGTGTTTCAGAATGTTCCACGCTACTCAAGCTCATACCAATGCACAGATGAATAAGTTTTTGACCACAGTTGCTGAGTGGTACCGGTTTGCGGATAACCGGAAGAAGATTGTGAACTTCTGTTCTTACATTGTCCGTGGGTCTCTTGCTAAGCTTTATGCTGCGAAGTATAAGCTTAGATCACGAGCCAAAGTGTATAAAGGAGCTTCTAGGAATCTGAGCCGTCCTTTGAAGGAGAAGAAAGGTTTGTCTCCTGAGTATAACAATCTCTTGAGGATGGGTCTTGCTGAGTCTATTGATGGGCTTGTTTACACAAGAATGTCTCTTGTTCCTGAGACTGATTACTCGCCTTTTCCGGCTAACTGGAGGCCGGAGCACGAGAAGTTTCTGATGGAGTACTTAGCGCTCGATGAGCCAAAGACTTTGGAAGAGCAGAAGAGGTTTATTAGAGAGAATGGTCTAGTTTCTCCTCAGGACTACACGTCTATGTTGGTGTGGAACTATAAGAGAAATGCTATTCCTATGGATCAGGTTTCGATTCTTAAGGATCAACCTTTCTTGTTGGGATCATCAAGTAACTACAACCGTGACAATGACAATGACAATGACAATGATGATGATGATAGTGATGATGATGATGATCTGAAGAATAATGATGAAGATAATGACGATGGGCTTCACATTGCACGCATGTAAGAACACAGAAACTATTCCGTTTTACTCTTCTATGGAACTTGTACGCCTTAGTATGTCACTGAACCGGTTTGTATTCGGTTTATGAAATAGTATCATTCGCTTTGGTTTAGATTGTTCAAAAGGTTTAGAAAGATAAAAGGTTTTGAATTGCTTATGTTTTCTCTTTTTCTGGTTTGGATTTGCTTAACGGGATTGAACAAACCTAAGTACCGGGATAATGTATCAAAACCGGAAAATGTAGTGTTATAAGTACCAAAATTATTAATAGCTAGAAACATTTTGGTTTAACTAAAGCTTCTGTGGTCTGTAATATATGCAGATAGCTCACTGTTCAAGACCTTTAGAAGGCTATAGAGGGTACGAGCATTGTTTCAACGGTGAGCTCGCTGATTACTAATCTTTAAAGGTATATTCTCAATGTTATTAGCTTGAAATCCATGTGTTAAATCATTTCAACATTTTTGTTAAAGCTAAAGGAATCAAAATCATTTGTGTCAAGGCATCATTGTCTCTTGTAAAGGGAGATATCTGAGGCGGGTCTCTTGTTTCGAATCTAGTTTCGCAGAATCTCGTTGCATTCAGTGCAGAACTCATAACGAAGGTGGCGGTTTTGTAATCACGCACTTTAATACTTATCACAGCTTCCTTCAAGGTGACAGTATTGTCTTTATAAATCATGGCGCAGTCGTCGAATAGCATTCCAAGCACATTGTCTTCCCCGTAGTTCTTCTCCTTGAGAATCTTGTCAGCTTTTTCTCTCAATCTCCTTGACCTGGCCCCAGCGTTTATCATCGAGGCCGTGGCTAACTCACCCATACTTTGTGCGGTTTTGCTCCGGTGGTGCCCTTCTAGAGACTTGACGCAGAAATCGAGTTTGAGGTCACGGTTTTTAGCTACAGCTTTCTTGCAAGAGTTTTGAATGAGAGTTTGTGTGTTTGCTGTGATTATGTTTATGAGGAGAAAGAACGTAAAAAGGTTAAGCAATAATTTCATTTTTCTTAGGAGAGAAGCTGAGGAATGTAATGAGAAGAATCGATTGTTGAAGAAAGTTTTGTGATCCAGTTGAGTTTATATAATTAATGAAACTACGAATGTTATGGTAGATTGGTAACTCACACACAGTGGCCTTTTTTGTAGAGTGCACATGTCACGCTTTACCACTCCGCTTACGTCGTTGTGACCTATTATCACTCTTTTACTTTTACTATACTCCGTGGTGTCTTGCATTTTATGTTAAAACTTTAAATAAATAGATAAATGTTAATTAAATATTTAAATGAGTATATACAATGTGTATTGGTATGATAATATTCTAGTAAGTAAATAGAGAAGCTAACATTCTACAATCTAAAAGATGAATTCTTCCCGAGTGTAATAACAAGACAGATTCTCAGGACTCAAGATGCACTGTGATTCTGTTGAATAAATTTATAGCTTTTTCTTATTATTTTTGCATCTGTTGATTCACTACATAATATGATAATAGAATCCTTAACTACATTTTCTAAGAATATCTCACTTATATTTATATTATTATTAATAATAATATAATTAATGTTGAAATATAAAAATTATAAATTAGTCATTCCTTTTGTGATCATAATCTTCTCTTTCTTTATTTTATTATTATTATTTTTTGAAATATAAAAAAATAATATTATTTTTATTATTATTTGTGTTAAGAAAATAACTAGTGTGTTATAAAGGTATTTGAAGGCCCATAGAGATGAACTAAATGGGCTACTTAAGCCCATGACAGGTGACTCTAAGCCTTTCCAAACCTACAATCTCACACTCCGCTATAAAGACAGCAAGTAAAGCAGTATACTTTTACGCACTCACTCGTCTCTTTACACACCCCACTCCACAAAAACAGCTAAAACAGCGTCGTTTCAAGCAAGAAGGAGCAAAGCAGGCAAGTCCGGCGGAGGCCTGGGATATTCCCACGAAGACTGGCCGAAACACTTTCCACCAATCCGTACGTCTTTCTTCTTCCTTACACATTCTTTTCTTACAAAAGTTATTTTTTTTCTATTTAGTGACTGATCTGTCACATGGGTGCTTTGTTTCGTGTGTGTGTTTTATAGCAAGGAACCAGTTCCAGAAAACAGGTAACCAGACCGTGTACGAGGTCAAAGAGACGAAGACAGCACGTGTTACGAGGATAGACACCCCTGGGTCCACCGTGTCAAGCCTCATCTACTGGATCGACGGCAAAAACCTCCACTTCTTCACCGACGAACCCGACAGGCCTGAGTGCTCCTACGAAGGACGCAAATACGGAGGCACGTTGGTGTTCGATCCAGTGGCTTACGAGATGGAGAAAGCTAGGGCTAAGCTCGTCAACGGAGTTCTTTGGGTCACCGTTCCAAAGATCAAGGGCGTGAATGCCATGACGATTACTCTTGACCAAGTGCTGAATGTCATCACGGGACGCGACGTGGTTTGATGAGAGCCCCGTTCGTACGTCTTTTGTCGTTATTATCCTATCCGTCTGTCGTGTCATCATCTTGCCTCTAGTTATGGTGTCTAGCTAGGGTTTATCGTCATAGTCTTCTCTCTATGACTGACTCTCTTTATTTTCTTTTCTGGTTATTAAATAAATGTGTATCTGTGACGTGGACTTTGTTGCATGTGGTTTGTGTTTTATCTTTTACTATCGTTTATGGTTAAAGTGTGTTTTTCAATTCCTTCTACGTAAATTGTCATCAAAACGTGTCTTTGAGTCTATAACGAGATATTTTTTAAGTGTTTTGTTAAAATAAAGCTTTGCAATAATACCTAAAAAACCTTCAAAATAAATATTAAAAGGATAAATAATTAACATTTTATAACGGTTGTAAACATTTACAAAAGAGTAGCTGATTCAAAAACAAGAAAGGAGACGTGGCATTGCATAGTTAACTTTTGTTAAAGTAGATAACGAGGGAGTAAAAAACAGCTGTTTTAACCTACTGTAATAAGAGAATCCTTGACGTCAGCGATTCAGCCTCTTGCATGCATTTAATGATCTCTCTGTAAAAACGTTTGAAATAAAGTGAGCGACGAGGTTGGCTCATCTATCTATTTTGTCGCAATAAAAGACACGGGACAGCTGTATCGTACTCTCGGGTTCTTAAAGAATTACCACGGTAACAATAAGGAAAGCAATTCTTTAATAAGGAGTGGTTAAAATGTGATGACCAGTCAAAGAGCATCCTACTTCGTTTTGTATATCAAACAAACAAAAAAACTCATAATCATTTTTACCAACCGAGAGAGAAAACTCAGAGAAAGGAAGAAGAAGAAGAAGAAAGAGAGATGGCTTCTGCACTCATTGATTTCTCGAGGTCCAAAGGGAAATCAAGGTCCTTCACAACGACGACCTCTACATCCGCGTCGACTTGCCCGGTGTTCCAGACGACGCTGCCCGATGCTGCCCGCTACAGAATCGACGCCGTGAGACAAAAGGTTGTCTTTTTCTCCGGTGAAGAAACTCTCAGCGACAGCCACAACGTTGACGACGTGCGTGAGTACTCTGGAACCGCTGGTTTAGGATGTGACTGCTGTGAGATCACTGGAGTCGATGCCAAGATGAAAGATGGAGTCTTGAGGATGATTGTGTCAAGGGTCAAAGTCAAAGACCATGACAAGAAGTGTACCAACACTGTCCCTCCTAACACAGGTTCGAATCTCATTAAAAAAACACATTGTTTTTTGCTTATCGTTATTGTATATTTTAAATGCTTTGTTTTGTTGTGTCTTTCGTAGGAAAATCTGGAAGATACGATTTAAATGAGATGATAATATAGTTATACAATATTATAGCATCTTTCATTTCAGTCTATCTTTAAAGATTGAACTACTTAAGTATTTGTGTGTTTTATTTAATAAGTTTCAGACAATTGTTATGTGTCTTTTGTGTTTCTTATGGAATTCTGTGACCAGTGTTGTGTGCATTGCTTTCACAATGTCTATTTTGTTTCCCTTAAGCTGATTAGTTGACCCAAACCGACTAAACTTGAATTCTTTAAAGATAGAAAAAGTTATAGGAACCTCATGAGAAGTGATTCATGAAGCAATAACTCTCTTAGAAACATGGGGAGTTGAATCCTTGTTCGAAGCTCCTTTGTGAAAACTCTAACCACTATAAATATTCCACACACGTTTAACCGCACAAATCTTATGCTCAATGTTATATGGTGGTTGAAATACCATTCTTCACTAAAGGAAAAGCAAGTCCAGACCTAACAAATGTACAATTAGAGAATGTCCCAAACAACTTAGGCATGAAGTGTTGATAGACTTACAAGTTATGAAAATAATGGTATATCAAAGAACAGCCAAGGAGAGCATGTGACATGAATATATAGCCTTTCATATTCAAAATTGCTGAACAATGTTGACAATGTAGTCACTGGATTACTATACCATTTGATCATAGTAAAAGTTAGAACAGAGAGTTCAAATATGCAATGGCAAAGCTTTATTATCACTGGGAAAGCACGCTAGCTTTAGACTGCCACCCCTCACAAAGGTTCAAAGATGCTATAATATTGTATAACTAAATGGGTTCATCCCATAACACAAAAATATCTATGAAAAGCTGAATCTAAATGCTTCCAGTTTTCATATGCCAATAGGGACTTCAGTTCACAATCTCAAAAGTGGTGATGATCACATCGTCTTGCGCTAACTAACACACATATATGTTATACATTGATGACTACCTCTTAGTCATCAAATTATTTTATTTATAACATTTATAATCAATGTTTTAGTGTCTCTAAATCATAATTGTATGCCTAAATCATATTTATATAACTGTAAGATATTGTAGTGGTTTTCGGGTAAGATAGTTTTTGCTGAAACTAACTTTTCCGTTGAATCTCAACCGCAACTCCGAATAATTTATTTTACTTATTATTATAATCTTTACTCTATTAAAAATTCTTAATAAAGCCCTATGAACATGTCCATGTCAGCAAAAATATTTAGTCAATCAAAACATTTGTTTCATCACATCAGCAAATAATTTTGGGTCTGATTTTTAACATAATCAAAATTAGCCCGTTAGGCCCATAAAATACAAACCCTGGATCAAAAGAAAGTAGACGATAATTTCTGTTTCGTTTGTTCTTCGCCTTTTCTCCTTCCCAAGCGTGAACGATGGTTGACGAAGCAGCAACAGCCTTAGCATCCAAAGCTTCGGTGTCTGGAACTACTGTAAACTAGAACTTAACCAAGCCTCGATCGAGGCCACCGTCGAATCTGTTGTTTAAGGCAACACTGAATCGTCCTGCAACAACAACGTGGCGGAGAGTGCTGTGACTGATGGCGTCTCTGAAGAGGAGAGTAGAAGAGTTTTGAATTCGCTGATGAACTTACTGAGAAAGGCTTTATGTTCTTGAAGAAGATGGATTTCGCTGAGGCTGTTGATTGCTTCAGCCGTGCTCTCGAAATCAGGTATCCTTACACATTTCAGGAAGATTTTGATTGAGATTTTGACCTATTAGATTTGCAGCAACACTGATAGATTTGTTAGTGAGATTCAAATGTGGTGTGTTGCTTGGTATGGATTTAGGGTTGCACACTATGGTGAACTCGCTGCTGAGTGTGTAAACGTGTACTGCAAATATAGATCAGCTCTCTTGGAGAAGGCTCAAACTGAAGCTGATCCACTTGGTAGTGAAGGCTCTGTTTCTGATCGGCGGGGCCATTCTCCTAAAGTGTCTAACGAAATCCACTACTCGCTCGACCACTCTCACGTCGTCTCTCGGTCTCTCAGCGGCGAAAAGGTCTCTACATTCCTAAGCTTTCTTTTGAATTTCATAATTCTCCCAAAAAAAAGATGAAAACTTTGTGCTGATTCAAGGTTTTTTTTTAGTTTTTACTAAAAGTTTTTTAAGGAACAAGCATCAAGGGATCCTGATAATTACTTCAACATAAGGTTTTTATTGTTCTTTATCACTCATGATGGATTGGGTTGTTAACTATGTCTACTGTCACTGCTGCAGGAAACATGATGTTATTAAAGAGGGTATACATTTGATTCTAGCACATTCTTAGAGATTCTCTTTCCTTATTTTATTCACGTACAAGCTTATTTCATTTACTCTTAATAGATGGCAATGGTTTTAGGACAAGTACAATGAGACTTGGAGCTGATGTCATTGTATTCTCATGCTGCCCTGGAAAAGATGGAAATAACCGCCTGCAAACAAGGAAAGGTTCGGGTAAGGCACTGTAATGAATTCTCAAGGAGTTCAAAAGACTAGCCTCGGTTTTGATGGTGCAGTGGTTAAGGAAAGGACCAAGAGGAAATGGAAATCCAGTGAAGATGATCATCATTGCTTTTGGATTGTTTCTGATGTGGAGAGAGCTTTGAATGTTGTGAAGGAGATGGAGAGAGTGGGGGAGGATTTTGTGAAGGAGATGGAGGTGATGAGGCGGAATTTGGAGCCGGCGTCACAGATTATGACGGTGGGGATGTTGAGAGGTTCGAGGCTTTAACATGTTGTGGGTCTAATGGAGGTGCGAGGAGTAGGAGAGGTGTGTGGAAAGGGAGAGATGGTTGAAGAAGAGTTGGGGAGAGGGAAGGAGCGTTTATATTGATGCTCGACGTTGCAAGCTTGATCTTTGTTTGTGGGATTTGCTAATGACTTGGTAAGTCTTTTTCTTTCGATCTAAGATCTTCCATGCTTTTTGATATATGTTCAAACTATTGAAACGATTTAGGAAAGTATTAATTTGCTTTAAGAATACGTATCTCTATTTGATTGTCTGTAGAATGCATCATATTTTTGTAAAAGATGTGATTGTGCTGAACTGTTCTTATGTATGTGTATGAACGTTGGTATGCGTTTTGTCAAATGCATAAGCTTTGAAGTTTACTCATTTTAACGTCTTAGAAACAAAATAAACAATACCAAAATAATATGTTCTATCATAGGCATAATAAACACGAGCATAATAGTTGCAATCAAGGCTAAAACAATTTTATGGTGAAATGTCTTTGTATTTACTTTTGGTCTTAATCTAAATGTAGGAAAATTGCAGTGAGGGAAAAAAATATAAACGGCTTCTTTTCTTCTTGATCGTTGTGGTTAGTAAATCAATTATAATCTCATTTTATGGATACGACAATTTTCTAAGGCTTACATAGATTTCTTAATTGCTTCAGTGCAGTTAGCCTCTTCTCAAATAACAATTATACATATAATTGGTTAAATATATATAATTGGGTGGTTGTCCGTAAATTTGCGGATACAAATAATTTTAATTATGAATCTAATATAATTTTTTTTATATATTTGGCATGCAATAATATATTTTGATATTTTAAAACTGAATATAATTTTTGGTAGATAAAATTTTAACTTTTGGTATATAATTTTTGCTTTTGATCAATGAAAAGGAATTAACAAACTTATTTACTCATCAACATTAAAATTTTAGTTACTATTATAACATTTTGTTTTTGACAACATGAATTTAGTCAAATAATAAATCCAACCCGTTATGAAAACTAATCAAAGACGCTTGATAGACGAAAACTTAGGTCGATATAGTCTTCAAGAAAAAAATTATGGTCGCCAAGAACAAATCAAACTAGATAATGATTTTCATAATTTTATAAGAAAAATCTCTATGATGACATTGAAAAAGGGTTTTATCATAAATATATCATACGAAAGGTAAAAGTAATCAAAAATATTATGTTAAAAAGATAAATAGAAATTTATACATATAGATCAACTAATATAGAATTAGAGTTTAGATTTGATAGGTGGTGTAGAGATAAGGATCGAATTTATTATTTTCAAGACGAAAAATAAATAAATAAATAAAAAAAGATTGAATTCAAAAATATATTATTCAAAGTAATAAATTTATTATTTATTAAAAAATTATTTATATTTATATATCTATAAAACCATGATAAAATATCTTTTACCTTTTTAATAAAACATATTTTAGTCATTTTTTTCTGTGTGATCTTTCGATAAAAAAATCTATTTTACTGTCCTTGATAGCATTACTTAATTTTTAATTCGATTTATCACTAAAATCGCTAAAATAAAAATAGCTAAATTTATAATAAAAAGTAATCACAATAGTATACTAGCAGATTATATGGAACGACCAATCTTTATAATATTTAGCAGGTATGATTTTAGTTTTATAAATAATATACTCATTTTCCACCATATAAACACATTTATAAACATATCTTTAACATATTTTAAAATTTTAATAATGATATTTTTCAAATAATAATTAATTTACTGAATACTAAATCATAATTAATTTAAAATATAATTTATAATAATAACAAGCAAGACATTAGCTTTAAAATATATTTTAATTAAATGTTATGTAACTTATGTCAATATTTTATAAATGATTCAACAGATTGATAGTTGTTAAGCTTACACTATTAGACAACCAAACATCTCTGTTCAGGAAGTTTCAAAGCATAACTAAATCGCAAATATAAAATTGTTACGGTAATAAGCTTTATCTTAAAATATACAAAGGTCAAAACAAATACAAACTTTAAAATATAATGCATACTGATTAATAACTCTTATTTATAGCGAAGCTATTTCTCGCCTCATCATCGACTACGCGAATTTACTCTAACTCATATATATGTAAACAACTTCCTCACATTATCTGAACTATCTATATATTCTAAATTCAGTTTTGGTATTTTATCAAACTTATAAATTTTTGTTACAAAAATGCGGAAAAATATACTCAACATTCAAACACTATAAATAGAGTATCTCTCCCCTCTTATATTATA